TAAATTGAGGGTGGGGGGGGGTGTTTCCCCTGTAACATTAGGTTCAGAATCGACTGTCTTTTTGTCTCTTATCAAGAATACATAAATCTTATTTAACTCTCTTTTCGTATGCATGCAGAATTAGTCTGTTATCCTGAAGGAAGACAAGAGATTGAAGGTTTCTAAAGACAATTTTGTGACATCAAGACGAAGAAAATTGTACAGTCTGGTCAACTCAAGCGGGATGAGATGAGTGGGACATGTAGAATGTGTCGGGATGATTACAAAATCATCCAAAAGTTTAGTCTAATAACCTGAAGGTAAGCACCAAGTTGGGAGAACAATATTAAAACGGACGTTGAAGACGATAGGTGGAAATAGGGTGTGTTCTGGATTGGCGTGGCTCAGGACAGGGAACAGTGATGGATAGGGGAATAATAAGTCTCACAATTCCATAAAAGATTGAAGTTCTGTAAAGGTTCTGGTGGCAGAAAGAGACCAAGTTTTAACTTATGTCTAAAAGCTTAAGTTGTGAATTATTTTGCTTTATGTTTATTTACAAGTTTAAGTTACATAATTTAAAATGGCTTTTAATCTTTTATATTACAATGAACTTAGCAACTTATTCTTATCCCTACAACTTAAATTATCATTTTTTTAAAAAATTTAAAATGTGTCATTTCTTTTATTTGAAAATATTATAAAACAGTGTCTACAAAACATACGTTTAGACGGACTGACGTAAGTTATACGCGATTTCGATTATGCGGGCAGAGCATTTTACCTTACACCCGCCTCTGTACACTATTGTAGGTTGACAGGCGTACACACACACGTAGGCTACACGTGTTCACACTTCCTTTCAAGCGGAACTTGTCGAGAGTTGACTGCATGAATTATGCATTATCTTTATCAGCGTCACGTGTACGAGCCGTAGTTTGTCTTCAGTGTCTTAGAGAGAACCCCCATTTCTGTCTCCGTGACAATCAAGAAATGGCAATGAGCGACTTCTATGGATTCTCTACGGACTTCAGGAAACGAAATTGAGGAGTGTCTTGTATTAGAACAGATTGTCATGGCGGCTTGCTTAGTTTCGTCTTACAACTCCTTTCCACTTACCATTCCAATTATTCACTGTACAATGAACATGTTTGTGTGGCTTTAACACTTAAAGGACGTCATAGTCACCCACACAGAATATTCACAAGTCGAACTTATGCACGAATGCGTCTGAAACACTCAACATTTTTCGGGGTCCCACTGATTTACGCCGTCAGACTGTACCAGAAGGATTAGTAATATCAAAAGAAAATATTCAGTAGCTAAAACAAAGCAAAAACTGAAGTCTCAAGTTGTAAAATACATATTTCTTCCAGCTTTCGTAAAATAAAATTTACCAATTGACGACGTTCCGCGGATCACCGGCTAATACCACAGTTCAGTCAAACATAATTATCGGATAAAGGAAATTAATTAAATCCCAAAGTTCTGTTATGCGTCTCTCAGTCACTCCTTGTAGCAGTTGATATTTTAATTAAAAGTGTCAGCGGTCTTCCAGAAATCACGCCGAAATGTCGACAGCCGGATATGACGACAGTGTAAACAAAGTAATGTGACGTTTTGACGGGCGAGCACTGTAGTCTGACGCAGACGTTCGGCGTTCGCCGTTCGGTTCAATTACTTTCTACGTCACTGGAATGATTCCCTGAGCGTCAACAGATTGAAAGCTTTCCCCGTGCTCTCTCTCGTCTCCACCTTCCGTCTCATTTATAAAATAAAATACAGAGCGAGACGAATGAAAAATGTCTTCTTATTATTTATTATTATTAAGTGTTCTGTCTTACGACAGGTCCATTGCTCTGCCCAAACAGAGCTCTTAAGTTGTCCCTATTCTCTGCTAGAGTTGGTAAATTTGGAATTATGTTCCGAAGGGGCTCCGACTATTATAGTACCTCAATCTGTGGTCATTGATCGTCTCACCCCTGTGTTACTTCTGTCTTCTTATATTTATCGAACAGCGTTCGTAAGTCAGAACGTCCAGTAGACTGTATTTTATAGCTGGCGCCTTCACAATAGACAACCCTAATGACGTCTTTTCCTTGAGATGCCTTACTCAGCTTCTCTGTGTAAAAGTAATTGCATGTCTGAGTAACGATTTGTTCGTCTTGATTACCAAACTTCTTGGTACAGTCATAGTCTTAATCTGGAGGTCTCGACTTCAATTTTCAGCCCTCAGGTCGGCTATTCTGACTGAGGGCCATCGTAGTTTTTTTTTTCAGACCTACCAGTCAAATGTCTTGCGAGACCTTCCTTTAAAATATCATGATTTCGTCAAGTAAATCCTTTATAATCATACTTCCAATCGAAGTTCTGGGATATAACGTATTCAGTTGATTGATTTATCTTTATAAATCGACGCTTGTTCAACCGTTCTGTTACAAGATAACTCCAGCTGTTAACGTAGGCATTATCATGTGCTTTAGCCGAGTTCTTCTGTTTTCCATGTCAATATCATTCCACCACTGCTTCATATTAACTCATGTATCATGTGGGGGTTGGACAAAGGGTCCGTTAGCTGCCGAATTTCCACAGACATACACCCCACAGCAACAGTGATACATCACCACGCGTATAAAATCTTTTCGTGATCACCTGTGTAGAATTCAGGTTAGGAACGTGTGGAGCTATACCTCCACCACCGTATGTTTGCATTGCGTGGTGCTAAGTTAAGTACAAGGGACAACTTGAACTTTACTTTCTCTCTCTAGATTTCTTGTACGGTTTCCTTAGTTTCTTCGCCTCTGGATTGGTTCGTGGGAGAGGGTAATTGTTTTTTTATGGTGCAAAATCTACCCATGTCCAGAGCTGTTTGTTTGGTTGCTTGGTTAAGTGAACTCTGCGTTTATACGTTTCTATGGTCATAAATCATAGAAAACTAGTAAACGGGAATACTGAATGTAATAACAAATAAGGTGGATAATTCCTTAAGTTCACTTTACTTGAAGACAAACCCCGTGATAAGAAAGGGAGGATCGAATTTGAATCCGGATTGATCCACTTAAGTGGATTTTTTTTTCTAAATGGAATTTAGGTAATCAGAATACAAAGTCCCAGTATCCCCAGTATGTTCCAATTATAGTTGCTAGTTAGTTCCCCGTTAAATTTAACGAAAATTGCAACCACGATTACTCTTGAACTTGAACACGTTTTCCAGATGAAATCACCGAACGTTCTGACGTCTTCCTCGTCTGTTTTTCTGCCTCTCCGATCCTGCCTGGGCAAAATGGCTGCTCTCACGCGGATCGAAGGCGCCTGCATCTCGGCAACCCTCTACACGTGACTGCTCCATAAGGTATTTGACGATCATGTATCAACTGCAATTATTACATTGAAATGGGATAAGAAGTTGTTTTGGAGATTAAGTAGGTGTGATGCAGAAGAAAATGTTGGTCGTCCCTGGATTCGTATGGAAGAACATATCGATTACATTCGACCGATATGAACAGAATTTTAATTCGCCCGGAAATTTTCCTTGACGATCCCTAACCAAAACTCTCGACACAAATGTTCTTATCATGTAGAACAAAGTTTGTGTAATGTCTAACGACGCGTTGCGTAATCTCCAACTCCCACCACATAACGTGTTACTGCCCATAAACATGTCTCAAGCTACTGCCTTTAATCATAAAATGATGTATAGATCGTCTGACGGTAATATCATGTACACAGCGCTTTCAGAGTAACCAGCTCCATGACGCAGAATTCTCGTAGAGAAGAGATATTTGGTAAGCCGGTCAAGAAATTCCCTTCCTTTTGTGGGGCCCTAAAATTCCTTGTCGTGTTCACTGTAACCCAACACTGGTCCCCATTCTGAGCCACATGAATCCAGCACACACACTCACAGCTTTAATTAAGATCTGTTTTAATATTATCTACCTGTCTGTGTTTACGTATTCCAAGTTATAACTTTCCTCCGTCTTTTTATGTCTTGTCTCTCTCATGCATTTTTTTATTTAAATTTAGAAATAGCAGACAATTTGGTGATGAGTACAATTATTTATCTTCTAATTATGTAATTTTCTCCATTCTCCCGACTTCTTCTCGCTTAGATAACAAATTCTCAACATTCTTTTCTCAGACACATTAAGTCCATGTTTCTCCGGTACAGTAAGGGACAAGATTTTACACTGAAATAAAACACTTGATAAAATTATGTACGAGTTAAATGAACTTGAACGCTGTAATGGAGAGCGTGTGCTTCATAAAACACTGAACATCTTCTGACTCGGTCGTGTTTCTAAATTCCTCTGAGTGCGTTAATATGGATATTAATGGTCCTATTCCAAAATTAAATAATTTTGATGGCCTTGGTAATGTCGAACATCCAGCTTTAATAGTAGGCCATGTTGTGTGGTCGTCTTCATTTCGAACGGCGCCAGAGGGCTCCATGATCATCGACACTTCCAGCCAGAGATGTTCACTTGGCTAAACAATCCGTGCGACAGACAGGCTACTTACGATGTTGCCAGACTGTCCTTGCCTCCTCGCCCCTGGTAATGTCCGTGTCCAGATAATTGTGGCACCGTGTCCGAGTGAACCCGGCTCTCAGCAGGAGCCTTATCTGTTCCTCTGCAAGCAGAGAGAAAAGAGTCACATATTACGTCACCTTTGACCTCTCTTCATACCAACGCGTTCTTATGAAGTCACTTTTATTTGCATGTTTGGTGATTTTTTAAAGTGGAATTATCAGATAGTCTATGGATAGGTAGTTGGTTATTTAACGACGCTGTATGAGCCTACGAGGGATTAAGTGACAGGAAACTGGGAGAAATTTCATAATGAAGAGCTTCGTAATTAGCAGCCTCCGCAAAACAAGACAGAAATTGAGAACAAGTCAAGGAAGTTGAGACGAACGAGGCATGTAGCACGCATGGTACGTCATAAATGCGTAGAATTTTGGTTGGAAAACGTGGAAGGGAAAATGCCACTTCAAAGACCTAGGCGTAGATGGGAGGATAAAAAGAACTGGATCGAAAATAAGGTGTTACTGTATAGAGTGGATCAATCTGGCTCAGGTAAGAACGGATGGCAGACATTTTTGGACGCGGTTCCGTAACTCCTGGTTCTCTAGAAGGCGTGAAACGTCGTGACTATCTGAGCGACTGTCAGCTTCTAAACAAGAATTCTGTGGCAAGCAGATTGTTTCAACTGAGACGTGTATTTGTCGTCGGATTATTTGAGAGGATGACTGCGCTTAATGAACGTAAAAGGATTAGGATCGTGGCTTATTTCAGGGCACTATCCAGATATTTTCCTGGAGTGACTGAAGAAAACCACCAAGACCGCAACCGGCATAATCGTTGTGCCTGCCGGAATTTGAACCGGATTCCTTCCAAATATAAGTCAAAAGCAGAATTGCTGCAGTCGAATAGTTCAATTCATCAGAATACATCGAAAATAGTTCTACGTACCAGGTTCGTCTCATTACGTACATCGAAAGTAGTTACTTGCACCTGTTTTGCATGTTTGGCTGCAACTCGTAGATTCCTTTCTTTTTTTCCGAGATCTCTGCGTCTCGTCATTTAGCTATTAAACTCTAATTGTGGTGCACTGCGGGCGAAGTTGGGTTCTGACTGGTACGACACCACATGGAAGCATGTCTTTTGCCCTTGGAGAACGCTGACGTAATAAATTATGGACCGTAATAACACACTTCCTCGCCTTTCTACATAAATTCTAAACTTCGGAGCAAAACAAAAAACAAAAAATATTCTGAAAGTTTGTAATGGACGGAAAAACATATTCTTCGACATTTTCCGTCATCCCCCGCCCCCCATCTGTCGGTAGGGGGAGGAGTTCGGACGCTAACTCTGCTTCCGTCATCAGGTAAAAATTGTTGTTTCCTTCTGAAAGTTCGGGGATTGAGGTCAACTCTTTTCTGATGTCCCTAGGGATTAGGTTTTATATTTTATGATTTATCGCTGTCTGTGGAATACACTGAGACCATTCAGTGACGTATTCCTGTCGAGAAGCTGATTGGTTTTAGTTGGATTTCTCAGTCAGTCATTTGCCACTTCGTCTGTTCTTTGCTATATTTAATAACTCACTTCCCGTTGTAACCCATAAAATTGAAACGCCCTCGTTAAGTACTGTGCTCCGACTTATTTAAATTAAAGAGAAATTAATCCAGGGTTGCCACCACATAACCCTCTCTTCCCCTAGAACAAAACCCACGAAAGAAAATTCCGCGATACGATCTATCTTGCTTTGTATTGATCTTGGTGTCTGTTTAAGAGAACAAATGGGTAGATCAGAGACTTAAATATCTGATTTCCGGTGACGCCCTTAAAAGATTGAAGCTGGTTTCAGCAACTAGAGGAATGTTGGTAGAATTCCATGTTCTGAATCAACCCTTTAAAAACCAACTTATAATATTTAATAATTCATTCCGTACCTCAAAACACATCACATCATTTAACGATCATTAGTTAATGATATTTAGTTAAATAATCAATGTTTATTCTAACAATCTTGCGAGACCCATAAATACACTCTGTGGGAAAAATTCATAGTTATGATTTTTAAAGCAGGTGGTACATATAGTTACCACGAGGCTTTAAAGAGCGTACTAGGAATCGGGTCTTACAGGACTCTGGCTTATTTCTTTAACGTCGCTGTTTCAGTTGATTAAATCATGCAACAGAGTAAAATCAATAAGAAATTAAATAATCGAGAATTATATTAACCCTTTGAAACTCTAAGAGAGAGAGAAATAGGAAGGATGTGAAAAGAGTAGAAGCAACGAGAAAATTGGTGGGGGAGAAAGAACATCTTATAGTTAGAAGGCTCCCAGGCAATGCCCACTCGTCCTTCTGGTAAGGATAATGTAAGAGTGAGGGGCGATAATTAGTGAGAGTTTAATAACAGAGACGGCGGAATTCTGATTTGTTTGTTAGTTAGTGAACGTTTAATCTGTAATTTGGGAAGTTAATTAAGTAATCTAGTGACCTGCGCAATAAGCAGATAAATTTTGATGAAATCATGCAGCGCGGAAGCTGATAATCATCGCAGTGAATTAACTTACCAGTGAGGGACACACACAGTGTCCATATTCCTCCATGCATCGGAATAAGGAATACGGCCGCCTCGTCGTCAGTTTCCTCACTGCGAGGCGTCACACTGGTGACCGCGGTCTTCACCGGCTTCTTCCTGCTAGGGACTTTCCTCAGGCCCTCCTCGTTCGTGTAAACAATCCTACCGACCTGCCCATCCAAGATCCACTCCAGGACCCATCTCACATGACTTGCGTTCTTCTGCCTCGCTGCAATGTCGTCCAGTTTACTGCGGTCCCAGGTCACGTGTTCCCAGTGATCGGTCATAATAGCGCCACATAACATCGCCGTCGCGACGCTAGTGAGTACAAGCGTCCCCATGAGGAACCAGACGCTTGGTTGCATTCTACATTGGCTTTGGTTCGATTCCATATGCAAGCGATTTCTTACTTCACTTATTCACTCATGAAAAAGATGTAGTCCGAAAGAAATGTTACATCGCTTCGTGTTGCTAAGCTACCGACATGGCTTCTAGTACCACGACAATTCACGACTCTATAATTTACAAGAATAAGTTATTTCTTAAGTTTTTCTTTTTGGACGGTTTTGTGGACTGAAATATATTATTTTTAATCACATACCTCACTGTGTGTTCGAAATTCGTATCCAAGTCTGGTTTATATCCATTTTAAGGATAGTAAAACTCTCACATTTATAAAATTCATGACGATATAATGCTAATATATGTCATTATTATTCTCCGCTCTACGCAATGTGCGTTTATGACGTGAAGAAAATAACACTTAAGAGTAATTCTAAAACAAATCTCGGCTTGAATACCAAGAAAATTAAAAGTTCTCTGCTATTATAGATTCCTGTAACAATTTTACGTGAATATATGACATCACACTTATGAACTTTTCTTTTTACGTTTTTAAAATAAATATAATTTTCAATTTCCTTTTTAATTCCCGTTTCACTTTCACCTGAAGTTTTGTTATGTTTCTTTCATTTTTTTTAGTTATATTTTAAGAGGTATGTCACTTGGCTTTGTTAGCCATAACAAGAAATTTGTCGTATCTTATTACTGAAGTAATTTCTTTCTACGTTTAGACTTTGCTCTGTTACGTCACGAGTCTTCCGAATATTGTTACTGAAAAAGTGACACAAATCAAAATATTTGAAACGATTTATATAAATTCTTCTTCTTCATTCGTTTCAACTGACTCGATTACACTAAACTGTCTTATTCTTGCCTGTTCGTATAGTTTTTAATTTTGACTGCCTGTTATTGTATGGAGACGTTTAACGCGACCGGACGACGCCTCAGAGCCCTTTCACGGGGGCGTCACATTACACTGATGGCGTCCCGTTACTAAGTGGCGGGATACTGAGGAACTGGTTTGGAGCTGGAGGGTTGCAGAGTTGAGGAGTGGGGTGGGGATCACTGCGCAGGGGTGTTTGCTACCCCTAATCGAACGAAGCGACTGGCGACTGTTCAACTTCCCGGATCCGTATTCTCGCTTCACCCCTAATTCTGTTCTGAAGACACGGTCCATTACATGCTGAAGTCAAAAACTGGAAATGTGTATACGAATTAGCAGTCACATCTGACAGTTTCGAACACTGACATATTTCGTGTGCAATTGATGACTGAGGAGGAGTTTTAAGAAATTTGGTTTTGATTTCATGCCATATACGACTATTTCAAAATCACTAACTTCAACAAACATAACCTAATCCAACTCAACTTTAGCATGTCAGAAGTGCACATTTCATAATTATTGAATGGGTAGACGAAGTTTAATTAAAAATTAAAATCTACTCTGCGCTGATGCAAACGAGCCCAAGGCGTTACATCCCATTTCTTCTGTAAGCCGCGCAGATGGCAGGACAAATGCTTATTCTTTTGCCATCTGCTGGAATTCTTTGTAACTATCAACCAAATTCCATGTCAAACGCCAGGGCTGCCCTTTTACATACTTTGAAACCATTTCATTAAAACTGTTATATTGTATATATGAAGAATTATTTAATTACGGACATGAAGCATAATAAATACAAGCTTTAATTGAGTTATTAGTAATCCGGGATAAATATTATAATTAATTCTAAAGAATTCGTATTTTCGTTTGTTGGGTACTATTTGCTTGACAAGTTGTAAGATGAGTTGCGTACTTGATAGGATTGTATTGCTAGTATCTGGTGGTTGTATGATTTCATTAATGTTATATCCTTATTGTAGTAAAATGAGTTTGTCTCTCTCCACTTCAGTGTATTCTTTAAGAAACACAGTTGTGATATATTAAGAAGCATTTTAACGGATCTGGGCTGAATTTTTGGTGTACGTAATTTTGTATGATTCATTTGTTTACGTTTGTAATCGTACTTTATTAAAACAAATTTCAGTCATGTTTATAATTCAGATCATATGATGCATAATTATATATGCATTTTAATATTATCAATTACGTTACATTTACCTGCAGATGCTGCGTGTTTATGTAAGTGTAAGGTTATGTGTTAATAAAATTAACAAGTTTTCAAATGCTTGTAGTAAGCTTAAGAATCCCATTAACGAAAATAAAGTTCGAATTCATATAGGTCTAGGAGTTATTAATAACCTGTTGATCATAGTTTTTTGTTGTATAGGCAAGAATGTCTTTGTATTTCGACTCAAAGGTTCAGAGCCCAGATCCAGGATGTATTAATATCAACATTGAATGGCATGAACAGCATCCTCTACTAGCAGTTTCATCCTACAGTCAAGAAAGAGGTGGCTTTGTCACCATTTATGATGAATTGGTATTGATATATTGTTTTATTTATTAATACATTTTTCAGCAATGTTGTCAGGTCAACCTGTGTAGCATCGAATGTAGGATGATGAATGTAACAGTTATAGGGTTATGGTGTACTAACATGGACGAAAATTATAATAATTTAGCATTTTTTAACATTGAATCCCATTATCAGATATAATTGAAATGAGTTTAATAGTTTCAAAGAAGAAACCACCAGTTAAACAGACACCACCAACAGGTTTATTGGTTCATTATTAATCCAGGGAGATCCTCTGCCAGACGTAGTCTGGCCTCAGCATGCAGTAGCCCAGGTCACTGCGCTAGCATGGCACCCGACAAAGAAGCTTCTTGTAACGGGCTGGGAAAATGGTGACTTACAAGCGTGGGCAGGGGACCCAGAGTTTATATCAGTGCAGTCTGTTCATCAGGCACCAATCACAATCCTGCAGTGGAGTACTCTTGGTGGACGCCTTGTTTCGGGAGATACGGTATGTACTGTATTACAGATCAAAGTTCTTAGTTATTCTTCATATCTGTATGTCATTCGCATTTTTCAGTAATAGGCGCAGAGGTCAATGTCTATTTTATTCTTATTGTTGATCAGATTTCTATTGTTATTCTTGTTCTTCCTCTGAAATAAATATGAGAAGTTTTTTACTAACTGTATTGTATATGAAGTTTCTCTTATGTGTGCATTAGAATCATTTAGTCGCATTGTTTAAGTACAAGTTATTTGACATGGATTATCCATCCTGTACCATTTGATGTATCTGTATTATTTAAAACCCAGTTAGTTTGCGTCGGTTCAAACCATGTTTCAGATAGGAGATACATAAAAAAGGCGCACGTGTCACAGAGAAAAATTGGTTTCTTGTGTGTATAAACTCTGTTGTTTCTCCTGTAGGCTGGATCTCTTGTTGGTTTGAAGGTAGATTCTCGTGGTCACATCCTGACAGTCTTCCACCATGAACTGAAAGATCCACTAACGCACATTGCATTTCGACGGAATCCAAAGCACATGTCACATGGGTTGGACATAAAGTAAGTAATAATACATCCTATTGCTCATTTGGTTCTTGCTGCTGGGTTGTGTATGAATAGCGCATACCCCATTATTCCGTCCGAAGAGAGAACTGGAAAGGAGGTGACCTTTTGTGAGCTTGTCCACATTGTCAGCAGATGGAGGTGGGGGTGGTCAGCTTCATATTCACCCTATTCTCAAACACCTGCAATCTGTGTTCCTCCTTCTGAGTGAGAGACCATGTTTCGCACCCATACAAAACAACAGGCAAGTTGTGATTGCTATAGTAATTAAAAATTAGTTTATAATGTTTGCTTCTTTGTGTCAGTGGACTGGCAAAAGCGGCTGTGGCTGGAGATGAAAGGGCGCTAGATCTCTTCAGTGGATGGCGTCCTCGAACGGCAGGCCAGAGGTTCTCCCTGCACCCAGGGCAAGGAGACAACCTCTGTTTCTACATGGGTGCCATATCAGGTGAGAGACATTTTGTGCTCAAGTTGGAACGACAGCCCTTCTTGAGAAGCTCATAGTCACTTACCTAGTCTAGTTCCCTGAATGGAACCCAAAAGTTTATTACCAAGTTAACAAGACTGAGCCCTTGGATGCTATTCTGAGACAGCTGAATATATTCCACACGTTTACACCATATTTCTTTCACATCTTTTTTCATATTGTCTTCCATTTATTCCTAGGTCTTCTAAGTGGTCACTTCCCTCCAGCTTTCCCAACCATAATTTTGGATCTATTTCTCATGTGTACTGCATGCCCCACTGCTATCTCATTCCCCTTGATTTCATGACCTTAATGATATTTGATGAAGCTCCTTCTTATGTGATGTGGTAATGAGCGTTTTGATTCTATAAAAAGTCTGCAGTGTATTCATAAATAGAGATTTTATTTTCAGTATGCCATTACCTTTCAGGTACTTTGTTCTACTGCACGGAAGAAGGAACATGTACAGAAGTGTTGAATACGGAGGGCGCCCTACTGAAGAAGCTTCTGTATCATGAGCACAAGGATAATTTAATTGTGATGACAGAGGATCTTAATGTTGGTCAGTTCCAGGTGAACCCCAGTGGACAGCTCATTGAACTCATGAAGGTGAAAACTGCTGAGTTAATAGTTACGTAGTTAGATGCCAACTTCTCTTTAGGTAGGCCTAGGTTCAGTCACATCATCTCATTTGACACTCTATAGTCTAAGATGCTGAAACCATAGGTAAACTATAAGAAAATCACTTTGCCTTTATTCAATTCAATTCTTTATTATTTATGTGCTGTATCAACAGCCTGGTAATATAAGGGGAAGTATTTGAAATATGAAAATTATGATATGGAAATTTAATCATCAAATGTGTGTCATAAACCATAAACATTTTGTCTCATTTAGTTGTCCTGTTTACTCCAAATGATATGGACATTGTGGTGAATATGGTGATAGGACTGGAAGGTTTACCTCCTACTTATAGGGGCCCAGTATTTAACATTTTTTTAGATTTCAACATGTTTGAGATCATTGCTGGTAACATTGAGTCATCAACTGTTCTTACAGGTTAAGCTGAGTGGACGATCACAGGATGCGTCAGTGGTTTGGGCAGGCCCTGGATTGTTGGCTGTAATTACCGGAGATCTGTCTGTTCGCTTCTGGGATCTGGACACAGGCGAGAGTTATTTGCTGGATGCTGAACCCGTCAACCCTTCCATCTCTGATTCATCTGCTGGAGCTTCTAATTTGCCTACCGAAGTCTTCACGAGTCTGTCCTTCTGTTCACAAAAAGGCACGTCTTTCTGTCCGCACTTTTACTCATGAACATGTGGAAACACTAGTCTGTTTTTTAATGTTGAATCATTTGATGTTTCTGTTTCGATTATTGATTAATTAATCAATCCAAATGGATCAAAATGAGAAATTTGATTATGGCAACATGATTGTTGGTCGGACCTAGACACACACTTATAGAAAAGGCATTAATAGATAAATATCCATAATTGCTAGAGTAATCGTTAATATACAGAGACTTGAAATTCTAACTACACTAACTCCAGTGATCAATGGAGTTAGTTAACATTTTAATCTTCATTTAATGACCTATTTTTTGACTAAACTTATTACATGTTTTGTTGTAAATAGGTATATTATCAGCAGGCACAAATGTTGGTACCATTGTCATGTGGCGATTTCTTGTCGGAGATACTGGTGGAGATGTTCTTCAGGAAGGAAGAAGTGGATTTTCTACATCAACAGATCCAGCCCAAAACTGGCTGCGAGAACTTCCTTGCAACGTACGTGGGGCGGTGAAACACGTTACATGGAGTCAATCTCATCCACTTTTGGCTGTTAATACCATCACTTCCGTATTTGTGTTGCGCGAGCAGGAGCTCTGCGCACATTATGGCAAGTTGGTGAGTGTGACGTAAATTCTGTTCTGGTATGTCAGGTGAAGGTGGTGCAGAAGAGAGGGTTCACGTAGTCACTGGTAATGCAGTCACAAGAGAGGAAATTAACTGTGTGTCTTCTTCTTGATGCTATCAAACTGTGTTTTGTGTAGCTATCAGGTCTTTACAAATAATTCTGCGCAGTTCAGAATACCAAGTAAATTCATGTACCTGGTTACAACTTCAACATTAATCAGTAATAAACAATCTTAAACTTTAAAAAGAAACACACACAGACTGTTACCTGGGGGGCAGGGGGGTTTATATATTTAAATACTAGACCATGTCCTGCTATTGGTGTAGTTTTCTCTGGTAGTGTGTACACTTCACTAGTCCTACCGTTTGAAATCTGAAAATTTCCATGTTCATTTACTCAATACGAAATAAATATATTATGCCAATATATGTATATATCAACTGAAAGCTTGTACTTCCATATCAGAGACTATATAAGTAGAATTTGTGTAGTTCAAAGACTTTTCTGTGAGATGGAAGCACAAAGCATGAGTTGTCATCTGTGTGCATCGGGCTCTTCACACTTCAGCAGCGGATGGGACAAGTGTTAACAGTCAGTGCCCAACGCTCCACATTGATGGGTTAAAATTAGTAAATGTTGCTGAGATTAGCTGACCTTTAGGCTAGCATCTGAACCTGGTACCCCCAAAATGAGAGGCAACACCATTCAACTATAATGTTTAATAGATTTGAGTGATAAATAAATGAACTAATTAAATTGTTCTGTCGCTATTATCCAGGTTTCTGCTGTGCAAGTGTCTCCAAGTCAGCTGGTGGTTGAAGTGGAATCGAAGGAAAACAGAGGGTCTTGCCATACTCTTGAGCTAAATACCGACCTACAAGTGAAGGGAGTTGCTGTAACCACTGATCATGTTGCCTTATGGAGCAGCAAGACATTTGTTGTGTATCAACTGATTACTGAAGGACTTGGTGATGATACTAGAATTACCAGCAAAACTGTAGGCATGTATCATTTATATCACATAATGCCATGGAATGGAACTCGTAATGGGAACCCGAGAATCGCTGATCTAGTTAAGAAATTTCCTGTCTTGGATGGAACCCAAAGGTTGAATGTTGATTACCATGTTCACAGTTACCGTCACTTACTTCACTTCAGATTTTCTGACTGAAGTTTTGTATTATACTCTTTATTGTCTGTCCCTTGTTTGATAAATGTCTTGCCACACATGTTTTTGATATGCTGCAAAATTTTTTAAACTGTTCCTAATGTTGCCACCCATTAAAAATCTGGAACATTGCTGTAACATAGGCTACTACTAATTCCTTTTCAGTGACCATTATTTCTCCTTGTCATCATTTATTTATTCTGCATGATTTCCAAAAATTAAGTGCATTGATTGTAATCATGATATAAATATTTGTGTAGGTTCATTTTCCTGTGAAGTTGAATCTGCGCTTATACACGAGCAGAGTCTTTTAATCCTCGAAGGAGAACAGACTGCGATCCAAGTGCGGACATTTCAGGGTACCATAAAGCAGATGCTTACTACTAATGATACTGAGGGTCAACCAATTGGCATGCAACTTTGTGGGTCATTTCTTACAGTAGCCACTGCTGCAGGCTGGATAAAGATATGGAACCTTTCACGCAGGTATGATAATGAGAACTGTTTAAATTTTAAAGAAATATTATCGTAATGTCTCTCACTATCAACCATTGAAACTAGGCGAACTATCAAGTTCTTTACCTCCAGATCCCATTGTTTCCACACATTCTTTCTTTCCTCCTTCCATCTTCTTTTTTCTCTCTCCTTCCTATTTATCTCTGAGGTGGAACGCAGAAGTTGCATATGTGTGATTAATACGCGCTACAGACACAACATCAATAAAAATTATTTGCCGCAATATATTGTGGACGCCTGCTTAACATAATCCACGACGACTTCTGCCATCAATGAGGCATGGAATAAATCACAGTGCTATAATCATTTGTGCTCAGACATCATCAATGATGCTATAACGGCCTCATTGATGATGTCTGTAGATTCAAACTGGCACCTCCAAAGTGGCTGATTTTATGTTGTGTTATAGGGAAGCTAAACATCACTCAAATCCAAAAAATCTTGAAGATGCTGTAGATGATTTTGGAGAGATTATTGCTGCGACATGCAACAGCAGTGGAACCAAAGTCTCTTTAACAATTGCTAAGGTACAAAGATCACCAGTTAAGGTACCTCATTTAGTAAAGTAAGTGTTTATAAGCTACACGATGGCTGTTGTTCAGTTTCTGACAGAGGCATTGGGAATAGCACTGGTTTTTAGAAAGCTGGTTATATGTAGTGTGTTGCCCTCGGTGGACTAGAGGTTAGCGTGCTCGCCACTGGACCCAAGCTTCGCGGGTACAATCCCGGCTGAGGTCGATGGATTTTTAAGGGCGATAAAAATTCGTAGCACAACTTCCTTCGGAGGGGAAATAAAGCCGGCGATCCCATGTCGTAGATTTACGGCATGTAAAAGAACCTTGCGAGCATGATACGAGATGTTTCGTAAGCAAAATTCGGCGGCCATTTCTCACCCAAATCTCTCCTGATTCACTGCTAGATGGCTCTGGCAGTCAAATCAGGAGTGAGTAGAATTTATGCAGAGTCAGTGGGCTAGTCATTACTCTTAAATGCACGCTTTAAAGACTATGAAACCTTCGAAAGAAGGCCCTACGCTCCACTTAGGAGTTACAGGAACTATCTATCTATATCTAGTGTGTATGTGTGTACCAAATACTGCGTTAGTATGTAAGAGTTAATATGCCAGACTCTGGCCAGAAAGTGGAATGAAATCATGTTTAATATGTTCTCACTTTATCCACAGTCAAATTTCTTACCTGATCCAAAATTATTTATATGGGACGTCGAGTCTGACAGTCTGCGGTACTTCAACCTGGCAACAGGAAAGCTAGACATTCATGATGATGGGGATACAGAAAATTATCTGGTAGATCAAGAGCAGTTGACACCCAGTTCAGCACTTGAACAGTATGTCGTTATGCAAACAGATTTATGGCTTATGCACAACTATAGTTTCTAGTGTTTAACCCATTAACATGGGTTGCCATGCACTGCATGTTATATCGATTTTTCATTGAGTTAACTATTTTGGAAATTTGTTATTTTTAAATTGTGGTACTAGTAAAGTGGATGTACTACCAGCGGAAACTCCTCCCACACCAGCGTAAGGTCTGCCTACAAAAGAATTATACCTTAAAAAAATTTTATGCATGAGACATAAATGTCAATATCATTTGTTTAACCTGACTAGATGGTGTCACAACCCAGAAAACCACAGTTTCAACTCTGGTAAATTTGTCTGCACTTCTGCACGTTCCTCTTGAGATGAAACTGTTTCACAGAATCTCAACTGGGACATCACAAGAGGTGTCTGGTCGCTTTGTGTTGTCGCACGTGTGGGATGAAGATGAGCCGAGACTTCTCGTGTGTGAAGCAAAGCTTCTGCCAAAGTCAGGAAAGAGTAAAATGAGCGTGCCTCTACCTGAGCCGAGTCCTGGAACGTCTTCCTCTAGAAGGGCTTCGTCTTCTACCATGACAATGCCCGCAGCATCTAACTCTGATAAGGAGAGCAAGGTCAGCACAGGGGAAACATTTAGGGTTGTGCTTACACCCACATTTTTAAACTTTAAAGAACTTAAACATTGTAAGATTTTAGGTTTTGTTGCGCTGTGTAGTCTGGTCGATGTTTACTAACGTTTCAGAGGTCGCACTGCCTCCGTCATCAGGGCGATGAATACAGCGCAACAACCCAGAAGACAGAAATCTTCAACTTAAACATTGCTATAAATTTCTGTATTTCAAAATTTAAATTTTAACAGTATTTAAAAACTTTTTTTTAAATTTGTTTTTTACTTATGAACATTTTTAACAGCTCGTGTCATGTAGTAGGTTGACTTGACTTGGGTGTCACTAGGAAAGTTCAGAGAATCTATTCAACAGTGTTTCTGCTTCTGATTTTATGTTTGTGCCATAATACATGATTTTTATTGGGTTTTATTTTAAATAGTATATCCTATACTGTTCTTTATTTTAGCATTTTTATGGTTTGTTCATTTACAGGAAGCTGAGGTTGTGCTAGTGACTTTTTTTGCAACACCGGACTCTGAGCATTTGCTACTTCAGGATGTGACCCCTCTGCAGTCTGGGAAACACTCCCACCTTCTTGCTGTACATATTCCATACTATCTCTTACTGCGCAAACACTCTCAGCAACAGGTAAGAAAATACAGGAAGGAAAAGTAAACTGTATTCAGAATGAATGCCTTCTGAGAAGATTATTGTTGCTCAGATGGAAAAGAAATTTACCCATATTTATGACACCTAATAGTTCATTACTGTGTTCACAAGAACCATCATCACTCATGTCTGATTCAAAATTGTGTCTTTCGTTCAGCTGGACTCAAGTTTTTATCAGCTATTATTGACGTATGAGATGAATTACATCCCCTTTTGATTTTTTCAGACTGGCAAGTCATCATCTGGAATGGTGGAGAGATTCATAATGAAAGATTTTGAAGGATTACAGAACTGTGATAAACAAACTCGTGATGCTGTCCTCGACTTCAGCTACAATTTAAGTGTTGGCAATATGGATGAAGCTTTCAGAGCTATCAAGACTATAAGCAGGTGAGTCTTGAGATTTAAGAAATGTTTAAGATTATTAGTCCATGTTACACACGGGTAGTTTTATGTGCATTTATCTAGTATAGTTTTACATAGTTATTATATTTTTCAAGTAAATAAAAAGCAACTTGTAGTATGAAAGACACTGATATTCTTATATATTTCCTGAATTGTCCCCCAACAGGATTTTGAAAACGTGATTCTTAAGATCTTATAGACTTCAAATGACTATGATGTCTTTTCAACTCAGATTAGAGCTTTGTTTTTTCTTCTTCATCTTTGTGTGATTTTTTCATCTCTCCCCTACCCATTTTATCCTCCTCGATTTTATCACCTTGATACTGTCTTCAAAAGAATAATGTGACTTCCTTCTTGAATCCAAATATTTTTCTCATGACTTTGCTCTCAAACATCCTCAATCTGTGCTTTTCTTTAAGTTGAGAGATGAAGTTTTACACCCATACAAAACAGTAGATAAATTATGGTTATCCACCCTATCTTCTTCTTCTTCTTCTTCTTCTTCTTCTTCTTCTTCTTCTTCTTCTTCTTCTTCTTCTTCTTCTTCTTCTTCTTCTTCTTCTTCTTCTTCTTCTTCTTCTTCTTCTTCTTCTTCTTCTTCTTCTTCTTCTTCTTCTTCTATGGCTCTCCGGTCCGTATTCGGTCCACGGCCTCCTCAATTCTCCTCTTCCTTCGGTCCTCTGTTAGGTCCGTCTGTCCGAGGCTTTGATGGAGGTTACGAAACATCTTCCTTTTTACGGTGCAAGGTTGTTAGCCTTGCGACCAACCCCCAACCTGGAGGACCAGGGGACCTATCTTAAGTCTGACCTCTCCCCCTCAATCAATCTGGCTAGGGAGGCCCTACCAGTAGCTATGCTACCACCAGCATAGCTCTTGGAGTCACTGAGGTACCCTATCAGGGAAATGTAATATGTACCTTGTATTGCAGTGAGGCAGTGTGGGAAAGCTTGGCACGCATGTGTGTGAAGACTAAACGTTTGGATGTTGCATTTGTGTGCCTTGGACATATGAAGCATGCACGGGGTGCGATGGCTTTACGGGAAGCTATGAACGAACCGGAGCTGGATGCTAGGGTAGCCATGCTTGCTGTACAGCTGGGGCTCACTGTGAGTTATATTTAATTCTTCTGATTTGTTGTTGTGTTTATGTTTATTATAAATAATTGTACCTAGATCTTGCCGTTATTTATTTTGTTGTTTAGTCATACACGTTATATTTATGAGTGTCAAGAATACAGTGATTAAATACCTCAGGTATTTGTCAACAAGTACAAGAAACTGCTTATGACACTCTCAGTAAGGAGAGAAGTATGCATTTATTTGTCCTAAAGAGAGTACTTCAAAAGAGCCCAGTTCAGGCATTAAAAAGAATATTTACTTCATGTAGTACTAGGGTTTATTTGAGGAATAATCAAAGCACAAACAATTGAATTGAATTTGTATATTTGTTCGTTTGTTTTTTATTGTTGTAGATTTTATGGGAAGAAACAATTATATTAACTCTTGCTCTATAAGTCAATGAACACTCATCTTCTTCTTCTTCTATGGCTATCCGGTCCGTATTCGGTCCATGGCCTCCTCAATTCTCCTCTTCCATTCGGTCCTCTGTTAGGTCCGTCTGTCCGAGGCTTCGAAACATTTCCTTTTTACGGTGCAAGGTTGTTAGCCTTGCAACCAACCCCCAACCTGGAGGACCAGGGTACCTGCCTTAGTCTGATCTCTCCCCCTCGACCAATCTGGCTAAGGAGGCCCTACCAGTAGCTATGCTACCGCCAGCATAGCTCTTGGGGTCACTGAGGTACTTAAGCCCTACCACCACGACAAGGTACAGGTACCATTAAGTGGGGCAATGAACACTTATGTCTGTGCATATTTGGACCCCACAATCTCACTATTACTTTATGACACCGTACATGCCAAACCGCCATTTTATGGTATTATCCTAATGGAAAGAAGACATTGAAATAACACACGGGAAACACCATCTCATTCATCACACCATCACATTCAGGAATAGGAAGTTTGACATGAAGTCGGCAAATAAAATGTGACTGAGAATATCATGCGCTATGTTTTGTTTATAATTGTGTACAGGAGGATGCAGAGAGATTGTATTCATCTTGTGGGCGTTGGGACTTATTGAACAAAATGTACCAGTCTGGTGGGGAGTGGGACAGGGCCTTGAAAATTGCCGAAGAAAAGGACCGCATTCATCTTCGTACTACTTACTTCAAATATGCGTGCCACCTGGAGGCAAAAGGTGATTTGATGGGTGCAACGCGTATGTATGAAAGAGCAGATGTCCATCATGGCCAAGTTCCACGTATGTTGCTGGATGACCAGCAAGCTCTCGAGCAGTATGTCCTCAAATCCAAAGACCCGTAAGTATCGAAGAATATCGCAAAGTGTATAATGGTTCGATAGCATTTCATATTACGTTCTTATTCTACTATGTTTGCATACATATCACATATTTTGTTCAGAATTTTAGTTCAGAAATTTGTATGTGACCTAGACTAAGAATAAATTACCGAGTTAATTTAAGTTTACCCTTGTACTCAAATCTGAAGCAACGAGGCCTTAAATTAATTTAGTAAGTAAGTAAATAAATAAATTTGTTGTAGGCAGTTGGTAAAGTGGTGGGGTCAGTACATGGAAAGCACTGGTAACATGGACCGAGCTGTTCATTATTACAAAGAAGCCAAAGATCACTTTTCACTGGTGCGAGTACTGTGCTTTCAACAGAACCTTTCTCAAGCTTCAGAGATTGCCAGTGCCACCGGTGATAGAGCAGCGTGTTATCACCTGGCTCGCCAATATGAAGCAATGGGAAAGATTAGTGAAGCTATACATTTCTTCTCCAGGGCACAAGCTTATGGAACTGCTGTCAGGATCTGCAAGGTAGATTATGTGAAGTGCTGCATTGCTATTTCCTTGGTGTTACTTTGTGGTTATTTTAAAATCAAGTATGTTCAATAATTTTGTCTACTAACTAACTAACTTAGATGGCTTACCGAACCCGAAGGTTCATCACCGACTTAACCAAAACTCTCCACCGGACCCTGTCCTGGGCCAACAAAATCCAATCTCCTTCAACTCCTACCTCCGATAGATCCCGCCTGACATTATCCTCCCATCTACGTCTAGGTCTCCCCAGCGGTCTCTTCCCCTCAGGCAATTTTGTGTACAGAATTTCAAAATGACTGTCTTTTAAAATTAGAAGAAGACTTTAATTTTGCCGTATGTGTGGTAGGAACAAGGAATGGAAGAGCAAGTGTGGAACCTTGCGTTGCTTGCCGGCCCCCGGGAACAGCTTGAGGCAGCGCAGTACTTTGAGTCCTCTGACAAACCTGAACCAGACAAAGCTGTCCTTCTGTACCATCGTGCTGGCATGCTGCACAAAGCACTGGACCTAGCATTCAAGTATGTGGTTTATAGAAGGTTCCAGATATCTCCACCTTGTTGCAGAAACAAATTTTTGTCTTCTCTGAACTGTCTATGCTGTTTTTATAATGGTTCACATTGGTTATACCACTCATTGAAGTGATGTCTATAGTTTAACTATGAACAATACAAAATTATTCTTCTGTTGGTGCTGTCATAAAAATGTATTCTCAAAAAGCGCTGCTCAGATGGACTGGCGTGTTTCCCACAGATGCATATTAACATTTGGAACTAGTTTTAGCACAAAGGTGTTTAGTAACGTTATCATGTGTTGTTATAGGAATCAACAGTTCAGCGCTCTTCAGTTTATCGCTGTAGACCTGAATTCAACGTCTGACCCTGCCCTGATACAGAAGTGTGCTCGTTTCTTTGTAGAGAATGGCCAATATGACAAAGCAGTCAATCTGCTTGCTGTTGGGAAGCAGGTAAGTTCTTCGACAAGACTGAGACCAGTGGGGGAACGTGATTTGTTGAAAAGCGCCTTTTGTTATTGCTTTTCGTAAGTTACGATGATTGTTGATATTTATCTGCATCTTTTTTTGGCAGTATGTGGAGGCATTGTCTTTGTGCATTGAACACAATATACCGGTAACGGAGGATCTAGCCGAGAAGCTGACAATGAACAAAGGAGAAGGAGATGAAGCAACCCGGGTACGCGTCTTAGAGAAAGTGGCAGAAAGTGCACTGGCTCAGGGCAATTACCATCTTGCCACCAAGAAGTTCACACAAGCTGGTAACAAGGTAAGTCTTCCTCAGGGATGGAATCTACCATTTTGAGTTGTTACCTTCTCCCCTGCTTTGCCTAATTTGGAAAATTTTGTATGAACGAAAGTGTATTTATGTGTTCATACGACCTTTCCTATAACTGTAAATTTATGCCCTTATATAGGATATCAGTCTTGCAGGTTTTTAAGTAATCGAGTTGGTTTATGGCAGTTTTGAGTACTCGTCATCAGCACTATAAATTATTTTATTTTATTATTTAAATTATAAAGTATTTTTGCTCAGTTGAAATTATGAACCAGTTAAGTCAGTCTTCCAAAATGTTGTTATCTTTGTACTAGTTTACATAGCGTCACAACTCAGACACTGACAGTTTAGTCTTATTTGTTTTTAATTTCCTTGAGACAGGTTGCAGCAATGAAGGCATTGCTAAAATCGGGAGACACAGAGAAGATTATTTTTTTTGCGAATGTATCACGCCAACGTGAAATCTACATCATGGCTGCCAACTACCTTCAGTCTCTTGATTGGCAGAATCAACCAGAAGTACTAAAGAACATCGTTGCTTTCTACACCAAAGGCCGTGCTCCAGATCTTCTGGCAAATTTTTATGTGGCCTGTGCACAGGTACATATCTTCTTTTTTACTTTACATGGAATCATTACAGTAGATTTCCTTCATTGAAAGACACCATTGACTGTAAGATGCACCCCTGATTTAGTAACAGGGTTTTCTTTAATTGAATCTTAGTTTTTATTTTTGAAATAATTTCTGTAATAGTAATTGTAAATTATAAATTGTTTTCAGATAGAATTATAAGTGTTTTGTGTACCATCTTGTTAATTTTAGGTGGAGGTGGATGAATATCAGAGCTACGAGAAAGCACTAGGTGCTCTTGCAGAAGCTGGCCGATGTCTGGCGAAGGTGACGACACCTCGTGACCCAGTGCAACACCAGAGAGTCTTAGACAATCTCAACACTCGCACAGTCCTAGTCAAAAGATTTGTTGATATACGCAGGTCAGAATTCTATATTAATATTCTGTTGGTAACTACTTTTTTTTTCAGTTACGTGTCTAAGTTGGAATAAACATCCAAGGTTATAAGATGTTTGATATTTTAATGACAATGACATAATGATGAACTGATCTTGGTGAAACTATGTGCAGTAAGAAAGTACATTTTATGAGTTCTGCCTTTGTTTTTCTGATATTTTTCACTTATCAGCTATCATCAGTCATCACATGACCGCAATAAAAAAATGTGAAATTTACATGTGTCGTTGCGGCTTTTTCATGTAGAAAGTTATGAAATAAAATTTGATGTACCGCTCGTGTGCAGGGTTTCCGATCGAGGTGACCGTGAGACAGCTCTTGCTCAGTGTCGCCAATTGCTGCAGCACTCTGGTGACTTGGATGCAGCAGGAGTGAGGGTCGGCGATGTCTATGCTCTCATGGTGGACAGCCTGATGGCGGGCGGAGACTTCCAAGGAGCCCAGCAGTTGGTAGAGGAATTCCGACGTACGGCTGGTCCGGGGGTCAATCTAGCTTATTACTTGTCCTCCTCTACACTGGACAGACTGGCTCGCGAATTGGGCATGAATCTCAAGACTTCGTTTGGATCAGGAGATAAGGTAAGAGCAGGACCCGTGAGGCAGGAGAGAGTGACAGACCAGGATGAGCCGCTTGATGAAGAAGTGGAGATCATAGAAGAAGAAGAAGTTTTAGAAGTAGAGCCACACTCTCCCACACATTTGTTTAAGAATGGGCAGGCTTATGCAATCTAATTTTAACCAAAATTGTTATCACCCGTCTACAACCAAAGAAGTCTGTCACCTTATTATTGTACCAATAACATAAATGTATTTTCATGTCCTGTTTGAGCAGTATCTCGGCATACAAGATTTCTGAGGAAATTGTATTGTCATTCTTCCGTCCAAAACGTTTAAACATTGAATAATTAATTATCATACACAGTTTCAGGTTGTGTTGCCATAGTAATGGTTGCCTTGTTTAGTTATGTATTTGTCATCAAAAATAACTTTTAAGTTCGTGCAGGAATGATATTTGGGAAGATTCATTATTTTAACCTCAACGATCCTTCAACCCCTTCCACTTGCCTTGGCATTCGTGACTTATCGTTTCAAAGCACTGGCTCATCTGGTTACAGTTTATTTTATATTTGAGAAATGAGTCGTACTGTCTGTTGCGGCTGAAGCTAATTTTTTGTGGTCTTTTAACAGTAGATATTATACACTGTTATGAAAATATGTTAAATAAAGCCTAGCATGGAAAGTATTACAAGTTGATATGATTGCGGGAAACAAATATGGACAGGTGTAGTTAGTTTATGTACCTTGTCGTGGTGGTGGGGCTTGAGTACTTCAGTGACTCCAAGAGCTATGCTGGCGGTAGCATAGCTACTGGTAGGGCCTCCCTAGCCAGATTGGTCGAGGGGGAGAGGTCAGACTAAGACAGGTACCCTGGTCCTCCAGGTTGGAGGTTGGTCACAAGGCTAACAACCTTACACCGTAAAAAGGAAGACGTTTCGAAACCTCGATTAAAGCCTCGGACAGACGGACCTAACAGAGGACCAAATGGAAGAGGAGAATTGAGGAGGCCATGGACCGAACACGGACTGGAGAACCATAGAAGAAGAAGAAGTTAGTTTATGTAGAAACCATAAAACAGCATCATAGACTAAACTTAACCTCAGGGATTCATCACGTAGATAAATCAAATAAAGTAATTATAAATTCATCGTAATTTTATTATTTATGTTCGTGTTTTTAAAGGGGCGTGAGTAGTTGGTCCTACAAATTTTCCAAGTTGATTGCATTAATTTCC